CTTCGGCTGTAGGGGTGCTCCGGCGGCGCGGTAGATGCAGCCTTTGCTCGGTGGGCTCTGACAGCTGAAGGTGATGCTTTGCCCAGGGGCTGAATCAATATGAGTTTTAGGAGGGGAGAGGCGTGCGATGGGGGGATGGACAGGAAGCGCCGTGCAAACAGATGGGACCCCGGGCTCAGTCTTGTCCCCTCCGGGGATAGGGACCGGGGATTAACCCTATGTCCTATTTAAACTATTAACGAATGCGCTTTCGTCGCGTTTAAAGAAAAACGCCCTCTCGTCAGCGCTGGCAGGGGAGGGTGAGCATGTCTCTGGCAGGGATCGTGCACATGGGCGTTATTGTAGATTCTTTTTTTTTTGTCTTTTTGTTCCTGCCTGCCACGAAAAGCTGGCGGACCTGACAAGAGTCCCGCTCCTACTTTAATCAATTGTGCCGTGGACGCACCGTACACGCGCAGCGGGCTGCAGAAGCGGTTCGCCGGTGGCGCGTGCCCACATTCAACGCTCTCACGTGCGACAACGTGGCGTCACATGAGCGCAGGCGTGACGAGGGTCGCGTGGAAACGTGTTTTATTGAGCGCCAAGCCTTTCTTTATGCAATCGCAGATTTTCCACAATTTTTATTATTAGGTTCCGATCGTCTTTTTAATAACTTGGTTGATATATATCACCGACAAATTGCGCGGTGCAGAATCCGCGTTGACATCGTGACGCCGTACATGCTGCGCTGCGCTTCCAACAATTGTCCCTGTAGAAAACCCTGCTGGATGCTGAACCGTGGATTCCAGTGCAGCAACTCCATTCGGCCACCAGGAATCCCGCTTTAACATACACAAAGATATAATACGGCGACTTGCGCGATAAGCGGCATCTGCCATTTACGCACTTTTTTTTTTTGTGTGTGTCTGGTCCGCCGCCAGCATGCGTAAGCCGTGAGTCTTTTATCCTGGAGGCTGGAAGAGAATTGAGGCTTAAAATAGTTTAATATGTTCTCTGCCAAAGGAACCCGATCTTAATTATTAACACTTATTTAACAAGGCGAAAGGCAACGGGAGGAGGGCCGTCACCCGGAGCAACCGGCCGGCTTTCACCGTCCTGATTGATGACGAGGGTTGAGAGCTCATTGGATGCTCCTTACACTGTTATTATATAAAGGTTTTAATTAAAGGATCTGTCCACCCGTAATATAGTATATAGTGAGAGATAAACCCCCTGATAGGCTTTTCTGTTTCTCAGTGACTCTGATGGTTCCCACCATCCCTGTGCTGAGTTCCCGGGTCTGTACACCCGCTGTGCCCATTATGAGGAGCTCCCACCATCCCTGTGCTGAGTTCCCGGGTCTGTAACCCCGCTGTGCCCATTATGAGGGGCTCCCACCATCCTGTGCTGAGTTCCCGGGTCTGTACACCCGCTGTGCCCATTATGAGGAGCTCCCACCATCCCTGTGCTGAGTTCCCGGGTCTATTAGCCACTAGAGCGGCTGAGAGCTCCCCCTAGTGGCTAATCTACATGTAAAGAAATGAAGCTGAGATAATAACTCAATGACAATGGATTGGACTTTGCTATAGTATAATGATATACAGCAGCTGCAATTGTTGCCCTCCTTATATAAATTCAGCTCTCAGGGGCCGGGTCCTCCTAACCATCCTATGACCAATTGAAGCTAAAGGATCGGGATGACGGCCAGCATATTCTGACGGGAGAGTCCATCAGTCTGAGATTCTGTCATTCGCTGGGCGTTGGGTTCCGTAGTCTCTATCAGTGCTGATGATCAGCTTCAGCACCGCGACTGGCGGACAGCTCCCGGATCACTCTGCTGGGAAACCCATTTGAATACTCCAAGGACCAACATGTCTTCCGAAGGGATGTGCTGGTATTTGTAGTTCCACATCTAGCTCTTAGCCCCAAACTGCCATTTATTGTAAGCAGACAGGGCATGGGGGGAAGGGAGGGGCGACACACACAAAAGTTGGGTCACGCAGAAGGAAAGCAAGCAACCAGATTCAGGATTCAATGATTGGCTGTTGAAGGACAATGCTCCGCCGCTGCTGCGGGAGGCGATATTGCCTATAGAGGTCAAGGTTCGTTTTTAGTTTCTAAAGGAGCAAATCCGAGCCAGGAACTCAAAACGGGTTGACCCCAAAAGATTTTTTAACAGGGGGCCCAATATATGAATAATGTTCTGGGGGGGGCTCTCGCCTATGTCGGGGGGCGAAGATAGTGTTTTTATCCGGCCCATTCTCCAGGTGACCTATGACCCCCCCACCACTCATCAGTATCCATGGTGACGATGCTATTTTAAGAGCCCCGCCATCTTTTCACCCTCAAAAAAGGTGGTGGTGTGGGGGGGGCTCTCGCCTATGTCGGGGGGCGAAGATAGTGTTTTTATCCGGCACATTCTCCAGGTGACCTATGACCCCCCCACCACTCATCAGTATCCATGGTGACGATGCTATTTTAAGAGCCCCGCCATCTTTTCACCCTCAAAAAAGGTGGGGCTTGTATGATCCACGAAACGCGTTGGAACCTGTTGCCTGTTCCCACTGTGATCCGATTTCATGAAAGGATTTTGGACTCTTGAATGTGTCTTTGGTGCCTTCTTTGGGAACCTCAACTCTGGGTCCTCCCCCTCTGCAAGGGGTGACCCCATTTTTTGAAGGGCTGCGGAACCTGAGCTATTGTGCCCAACTGGCCGAAAATATATAACCGGAACCTCAACTCTGGGCCTCCCCCCCTTTATGAAGGGCTGCGGAACCTGAGCTATTGTGCCCAACTGGCCGAAAATATATAACCGGAACCTCAACTCTGGGCCTCCCCCCCTTTATGAAGGGCTGCGGAACCTGAGCTATTGTGCCCAACTGGCCGAAAATATATAACCGGAACCTCAACTCTGGGCCTCCCCCCCTTTATGAAGGGCTGCGGAACCTGAGCTATTGTGCCCAAAAGACCGAAAATAGATAACCGGAACCTCAACTCTGGGTCTTGCCCCTCTGCAAGGGGTAACCCCATTTTTTGAAGGGCTGCGGAACCTGAGCTAATGTGTCCAACTGGCCCAAAATATATAACCGGAACCACGTTTTTACCTTTCTTATTAGAAATATGGACGTGGATGACCATCTACACATGACTGAGAGTCTTCCAAGGCAGGAACCAACATCTTTGGGGCACCTCATGACACCCCAAAGGGGGTAAATCAAGGATGAAGTGATCACAGAGGACCAAAAAACCTTATTTGCTGGATACTAGTTCCCTTTATTATCTGTGCATGGCTCTGCCCACCATTGCCGTAAACTGCAGCGTATGTGTGGCTAGGTGGCTCCTACCGGCCCAGGAGGCCTTGTAAGATTCCCTCTTTCAAAGCCTGATGTTCTGCATGATTAAGTGCGGATCATTTTAGGGCCCATACTCATTGTTGTGGTGCGTTAGTGCATGCGTGTTACCCTGTGGGCCAGATTAAAAAGTAAAAAGCTCTGGCTGCAAAAACACGCCATCCATCCAGAATTGCAATACTTTTTCCTGCCACTAGATGCCCCTAGTGTTCCAGGCTGAATGACGCCCGGTGCAATATTGTAAATGCAGGGCGTCATGGGCCCGCCCCCTGAGGAGGAGTCACCTCAGTTCCCTCCATTTGCAGTATACTTATGCAGAGAGCATCACTGTCATCACATCAGTACCGCTCTCCGCCTCTGGAGGAAGAATAAAGAAGATCCAGCGCATCACATATAAAAAGTCCAAAAAGAGCGCTAGACCAATGAGCTGAGAGTCCAAAAACCATTGATGTCTGCTCAGCAGGACTAAGTAAAACAGCCAACGCATTTTGAGGGTTCAAAAATACCCCCCTCCCTTCTTCAGGGCTATATATGAAATACAGAATTTAGATAGTTTCATATTTCAGTCATAGAACTGTAATAAATATAAAATATAACGATCATCTGTAAATAAATAAGCATCATTGATACATGGTGACTGTGAGCGAAGAGAACCCCTTAAATATCATTATTGGCTATCAATCATCCAACGCATCACATAGAAGGAAAGAGAGAGAGAGAGAAGGAGAGAAGGAAAGAGAGAGAGAGAGAGAGAAGGAGAGAGAGAGAAGGAGAGAAAGAAAGAGAGAGAGAGAAGGAGAGAGAGAGAAGGAGAGAAAGAAAGAGAGAGAGAGAGGTGGACGTAGGTATCTTATGGGGCGTCATATAAATGTCATGTGGCACAATGGATATCGTCCCGTGTGTTGTGTGTTGTGTGTTGTGTGTAAATGC